GGTTTTTCTTTGCATTTCCCTAATGATTAGTGAGGTTGAACATTTTTTCATATGCCTGTTGGCCATCTGTATGTCCTCTTTAGAGAAATGTCTCCTCATATCCTCTGCTCATTTTTTAATTGGGTTTTGTTTTTTTGGTATTGAGTTAAATGAGTTTTGTTAGTAAATTTTGGATATTAACCCCTTATCAGAAATATTGTTGGCAAATATCTTCTCTCATTCAGTATGCTCCCTTTTTGTTTTATTGATGATTTCCTTTGCTGTGAAAAAACTTTTAAGTTTGATGTAATCCCATATGTGTAGGCTTATTTTGAAGCTACGTTATTTAGTGCAGAGAGAGTCATTGGAGTTCTTCATTGTGGATTGTAGCTTTTATCATTTTGATGTGCCTTCTTTGACTTGTTTACTGCTTTTCAGGTAACTATAATTCTATGGCATTCCCCCATCTCAGTCTTTCTTGGCTCTCTTTAGCTATATCTATTTTTGATGAGGCTTATGTATAGGCCCTGGGCAATTCTGGCTTCTGAAAGAAGTGACTCAGATCCTTAGCTCTAATAGATGCTTTTCAACTTCATCAGGCTCCTGGTGTTCCAAAATCTTTAGCTCAGAATAAGACCTCCAAGAATATAGTCAATAATATTGTAAAAACTATGTATAGTGTCAGATGGGTACTAGACTTATCAGGGGGATCACTTCATAAATTATATAAATGTCTAACCACTAAGGTGTCCACCTGAAACTAATATAAAATAATATTGAATGTCAACTATAATTAAAAAGTAGTTACAGGGACATATAGTATAACATAAGGAATATAGTCAATAATAATCTAATAACTAGGCACAGTGTCAGATGGGTAATAGACTTATTATGGATATTACTTTGTGAGTTATCTAAATGTCTAATCACTATGTTATTTTGTACACCTAAAACTAATTTTAAAAAGAAAAAGAAACCCCCAAATATTTCTTTTTAAATGGGCATTCTGTTGAAGTCAGAAAATGATGGGAAAAGCCAAGGGAGGGACAAGGATGGAGAGTTTTGTGCCTTGACAGAAACTTTCAGATCTGGGAAGAAACAATTTCCAGCCTCTGTACTACACCATGGACTGTGCTTGCAGGGTATCTGCTGTGTACATGGCATTGTGTTAAAATTCCACAAACAACATTTTGAAGAAAAACTGAAAGGAGGAGAAAGAGGGAGCTGTGGTGTGATTGTCCAAAAGGACCACAGGGAATTGGGTGGGTGACTCAATAATTTCTTCTCTTTTCTTCACTTTAGTGACAGCCATAGAGATATGCCACTGAGACCTGCCTTCAAGAGAACCACTGTGAGGAGTGTGTCTGACTGACAACCTCCAGCTGCTGCATTTGGATCCTCTGAAGTGTTGTGCCGAGGCCACCACCTCAACAGTGTGCTCCTAGCCAGTGACTGATCATAGAAGGTACTAGATCTGAGCTGTTCCTGCCCAGTACAATTCTCCCTTAACAAAAATGTACTCAGTGCTTCCCTTCAGCCTTGCTGAGACTTTCTCCATGCTATGCTACTACCTCAGGCTCTCCTACCCAACTCGCCTTTCTTCTTTCTCCATTCACAGGTGTCAGACCAGCATTGCAATCTGCTTACCTGTTCTCCCTCTTCCCTTAACCTGTACAGGTGTTTCCTCCAATAAATGTCTTGTGGGTTTAATTCTGTCTTGGTGTCTGTTTCTTGAAGGGTCTACACTTTTTCTGGCTCCTGAACAGTGTCCTTGCTTGCTTTCACTAGTATTTGAGGCTTGACTATGTCCAACCCACCTTGAATTAACCATCTTTGTGGCTCACATTTTGTCAGGTTGTCTTCTCTATTCTAGCTCCAGACATTCAAAACTCCACATTGACTGGTAAGATAGTCCAACCCCAGTGGGTAAAAGAAACAAATACTGAAGGAATCAGGCATAATACAAATACTGGTAGCCTTGCTAGTACCATGGGTGTGGAAGTGTTGATCTACAGTTGTGTGCCAATGCCTTCATAGACACTTGTGTTTCAGAATACAGAATGTTTTGAATTTTAGAAAGGTAATACGGTACATATATTCAACATTATGTAATATATCCAGGGTGTCTGTGGCAGCTAAAGCAGTAATATTTCTGCCGCAAAATGCATCAATATTTACACTAAGTTGGATAAACAAAGTTAAAAACAACTTTTTAAAAGATAAAAACGAAATTCAAATTAATTTCAGGTTCATTTAGGTTGGGTTTTGCAGTGAAATAAGTTATTTTGAAATATTTTTTATTTTCATAGTTTTTCATATGTCCGAATAGAAGAAGGAGGGTTGTGACCTTCCTGTAATATTAAGTTGTCGGAAAAGTCATGACGTAGTTTTCCATGATTTTTGGTGCAAAACTGCATCATGACTTTTCCAACAACCCAATAGAACTCCCATTTATTGAGTACCTATTTTGTATCAAGCACTGTACTGAGCCTGAATTCTCTACAGGCATTATTTTATTTAATCTTCACCTCAGTACCATGAATAGACATTTTAACTCCATTTTTTAAGTGAGAAAACTGAATTTCAATGAACACTCCAAGGCCACACAAATAGTAAACACCAAGGCTAAGATTTGAACCCCAAGGAATCTGCCTCCAAAATTATTAGTTTGAATCACTATGCCACATTGCTTGCCCATGTATCATGTAGCCTTGACCACACAGCATGATGCGATATAATAAGCCTGACCTAGAAGTCAGGCCTATGGATTAGTACAGGTTTTATTCTCTGTAGTCTGTCCTCTGTGAACCTCCATTTCCTTATGCAAAATTGAGGTCAGCAATACCTAAATCAGGAGGTGGTTTTAATAAGGATAAAAATATAAATTTAGTGTGAAAACATTTTGTGATCACACTGCAAAGTGCCAAATAAGATGGTACCATCATGGTGGTGATATAAGCCATTACTATTGCTTGTGCTTCAGAAATGTCTTAGGGCTATAAATAATTGTTCCCTTGTAAAAGAGCTGGACAGATAAGATACTTCATCTTCCTTGAGCAGCTATGCACTAGAGCACCAAGGAGGGGTTGGGACATTGAGGTGATCTAGGAAAATGGGCCAATTTGCAATAGCTGCACTACGCCATGTAAACTTAAGAAGGAGCTATCTCTTCTGCATGGTAATTGCTTCTCTAAAGATTCCACTTTCATGTTTAAATAAATAATCACACACACACACACACACACATGCACACACTCATGCATTCTGCAGGAAAAACATACTTTGGGACTTTTGAACTGAGTGGATATGATATTTGCAAATGAAGTCATAGCTTCTGGAACAAAATTGTTGACAGTTCTTTATCATTGTGGCTTTTTTTCAAAATATCTGGTTTCTGATTTCTCATTAACATTACCACATTTTCCATTTCATTAGTCTGTCTGGGCCAGTGATGAGTGGCTGCTGAACAAGGCAAGAAGATTAGAAATAGTCCCAAGGTGAGTACAAAGGGTGGCATGGAATACAAGACAGAGTTTTTGCTGAAGAGTGTGGGGTTTTGTGCAGAAAAAGAGCTGTGTGATTCCATGAATTCAGAGTGTGAGGCTGGAGTCAACATCTTTAACTTCAGGTCAAGCTGGGAATATAAACAAGAGGCAGAGAATAATTATATATAACTATAACTTATATAATAATGATATAAGGGAGTTAATAGATGGAAATAGGTTCTGAGAGGTTTCAAATCACGTAAGAAGAAAGTACAGGCAGTCTAAATCTATAGGTAGTGGGTGGTGCCCTGGTAGAGACTGAGCCAAAAGAGGAAAGGATGACAGAATACAGGTGTATTGATGGGAAACAGCATCCCTGGGTCTTGAAGAGCAAGGAAGGTTTATGTAGCCCTGTATATTGACTTGTTGATGCTAAGTAAGGCATGGAAGTTCATCCAACATAGTTTTGAAATCCAGCTCTGCCTCTTAAATATTTGTGACATTGAGAAAGTTACCCAACTATCAATTTCAGTGTATCCATCTCAAAAATAGGATGATAATTCCTATATTATGAGGTTATTGTGAGCTATACAAAAACATTTGAAGATGTGTCTGGAACATGGTACATATCTTATAAATGTTGATGATGATGATGAATTATCATAATCATTTTCTGAGGAAAAAAGACAGTCTGTTTTCAGCCTTAGTTGCAAGCCCCCTGAGAATGGCATGTGGCCTCTGGAAATCCCGTGCATTTGGCAGTGTTTTACTAAATCCAGAACTGATTGATTATTTTGTTTCACATCTGAAAATGATTTGGCTGATTCAGTTCTTGGAAATAAGGAAAACAAAAACCTAGAAAATGCATGAAGAATGCTCTCAAAATCACACACAGAAAAAGATGCAGTTTCTTTTCGCTACTTTCCTCTCCCCCTAAGCTTTTAATCCAAGAGAATGACAAGGAGTAAAATATGTTTGAATCTCATTATTAATTTTCCTTTGTGCCACATACAAGCGGCCACATGTCAGATCACTTCTCTCACCCAATCCTTCCCCATAGAATGCTCTGTTCAAGAGAATTACAAGAATCTTAGCTCTGGGGAAGTGCTCTGAGATAAGAGCTGTTACTCTCCCTTTGCAAAAAAAAAGTACTCTAATAGGCAAAGGAGATAACTGGAAGAGAAGAGACTCAGCAGCAGAAAGAGCAAGTGCTTGGGTGTGTCCAGCAAATATTTAGTGTAAGCTACAGTCGCCTTTGTATGCGTGAAGCTGGTTGCCAAGCATGAGAGCAAACACTCCTTGATCCTTCTAGTACCCGCTGATATGGACTGTTTGTTCTGTCATTTACTTGCTGTGTGATCTTGGAGAAGCTCTTTTACTTCCATCTGAGTTTTAGTTTCCTTATCTATAAAATGGAATATTGATAAATATTTGATTGATTTCATTTATCTATTTTGATAGGATTAAATGAGACATTAGCAATAGAGCAACCAGTATGGCGACTGGCACAGGATATACGTTTAATATATGTAAGCTGCTACAATGCTGCTCATGGTGATAGTAGCAGCAGTAATGGTGATGGTGGTAGAAGTAATAGTACTAGTGGTATGATAGTACAAATAATAGAAAAAGGCTTGGTAACCACATAAACCGCTTGGCTCTTTCTAACAGAATGATAGACTCATACGTCTGTACTTAGGCAACCAGACTATTGTTTCACAGATGACATTTCTACAACAATTTTTCTTTATTTCTCTTTAGTATTTAGTAAAGTTCTATTTGAAAACTGAAAACTGTTCCAAGAGTTGGGAGGGAGAGAAGCAAGGGAGGCTGTGTTTGCCTGGGTCAGAGGCTAAAGCTAGAACCATAAATGGTAAAATTGGGCAGGGTGGTGGTAGGACAGGAGGAGCCCACGGAGAAGATAAACCTGCACTTCCCCAAATGGCAATCCCTCATCTCAAGCTCTTTAGTGACTCGCCAAGGATTTCAGGATAAAACTCATAATCCTACCTATGGTGAGTGTCAGCATCTTCACCATCTGGCCTTGCCTACCTCTTTAATTCCAACTCTCAGTCTTTCATCCTCTGCTTCTTCAGGACACAGGACTGTTTCAGACCTTGGTGTTTGTTGATGCAGCATCTTGGGCCTGTTCACAGGATGAACATCACCTCATATTTCAAGATGTGTCTTATGCCACGTAAGAAAATATTTGAAGATTTTTCTGAACTTATCTCTCCTCAGTGACATTGACTGTCTTCTACTTGGTATTCCAAATTTTGAGCATTTGGTCAGCATCTGGGAAGTTTAATGAAGCTTTTGTTTGTTTCTTCCTATAAAATTCCTTGAAATCAGAGACTATGCTTTGCTCATATTTGTATTTCTGACAAAATAAAGGGCATAATTATTGCTGTTTGAATGAATGAGAAAAGGAATAGAGGTATAGATAGATGGATAAATAAATAAATAAATAAATAAATAAATAAATAAATAAATAAATAAAATAATAAATAGACAAATGAATGAATAGTAAGTGAATGAAGACACGAGTGAAAAGATAATCCTAAATGTCCTCATAGAGGGACTGGCACAGTTATGTCAATTCCTCCCTCCCAACACACACAAAATCCAGCTCTTCACTACTCATAACTTTAAAGTGTCTGAATTTTATTTTCATGTGTCTTGTTCTTTCTTTATTGGGAAGTCAGGATGAGATGCAGGTATAAAGAAATAGGTGATGATTTGGGTTTGAATCACATTAATTCTGAGATTCTTAGAAGACATCCATGTGGAAATGTCAAGAAGGTAAATAAGAATATGGGGCAAGTGTTCCGGTGAGAGGGAGAGATGGTTAATGCCAGAAGGAGGATGAGACTGATGAGGGAAAAAGGAGGCGAGGGAGGAGGAGCAAGATCAGGGCCATTTGGGAACATAGGAGAAAACCCAGCAAATAGAAAAAAGAGTCAGCAAAAGAGTAGGAGGAGCCTGTGTCTTAGAAACCAGACCTGAGGTTCTACTCAAGAAGAAGGTGATGATTAACAACACCCCATGCCAAGAGGGAGCAGGAAGGATGAGGGCTGGGAAGAGGTCATTGGGTTTGACAATCTACTTGATTGTAGAGGAAGTTAAGTTACTGGGTGTCAATAAATGAGTACGTGGGTGATGGGAAAGTGAAGGAAGCAAATATAGACCCTTTTAAAAGATTTTTCTGGGCAGGCCAAGTGGCACGATGGTTGGGAACTGGTTTGGGATGCCAGAGGGCCCTGGTTTGGATCCCATATATGAGGGCCAGTGACACTGCCCTCTACAGCTAAGATGCTGAACAACAGCTCAACCTGGAGCTGGGCTGCCATGAGTTGCCAGCGATGGCATAGGCTGCAGCCCCTGTGGCAGTGGGTTGCCATGGGCTACCGTGTGTAGCTAGCAGCCAGCTTGAGCGGCCAGCAGCCACAGTGAGCGGCCATCCAGAAGCCGGTGACTGATCTGCCTCGCCCAGGAAGAGCGCAATGATGGTGCCAACTTGGGCTAGTGAAACAATGTCCTCCACAACTAGACTGAAGAACAAAATGACAGCAACTTGTCTGTTCCCCTTCCCCCAACTCCCCAGCACTGTTCCCATCCCCCCAATTCCCCAATAAAAATCTTTAAAAAAAAAGATTTTTCTAATGAAAGAAAGGTGGAGGAAAAGGACATTTAAATGGACTGGAGAGGGAGAAACCTGAGCTAAGAAAGGATAGAGGGGGGTTGAGGATTTGATATTATTGAGGATATTAATGGAGCAAAGTCCTGTAGCCTGTGGAAGAGGATCAATGACACAAATGAGGGAAGAGAGGACAAAGGAGCAAAAAGGAGAAAGAAAAAACAAAGACATGTAGAACCCCTCCCCCTGGATAATCAGCCCCGTTATCCCAAAAAATATGTCCAATTTACTAATTAGTGGTAAAGCTAAGATACAGTCTTTGGAAAGGGAGAGTTTCCTTGTACAGTCCCAAATTCAGATCAATTCTCATGGAAAGAAAAGAGTTACAAAACTATTAAAATTATTGTTCAAAAATATAAAACCAGCATTTTTGTTCATCAATTCAGATTTAAAATTTAATTTCATGGTACAATGAACCCATACACAGTTATATCTATTAGGGTCACCCACTACCAGCTCATCAGCTTACTCTGGACATTGATGACTGTAAAACTCTTTATGAGATGAAAATCACTGTCTCATACTTCTCAGTGCTCACAGTTTCAAAGTGAGGAAAGATTTTTTTTTTTACTCTGAAATACTCAATAAAATTTATCCCTCTAGCTCTCCCACCACTGCTCCTCAATCCGTGGTTTTAACAAAACATAAAAAAATTCTGCAAGAGGTTCTCAAAGATTTAAATCAAAGAATGATGAGAGAGTTTTTGATTGAGTCTTTCACTGTTTCAAGAGGAGACACATGTATTTTGTGTGAATTATTTCCTTAGTTTTTCAGGTTTTTTTAAAATTATCTATTTTTCTTTTTATGCTATTTGAAATACTAAGGCCAGAATCCAAACAGCTTTTTTTAAAAATCAGTTTCAGGCATACAGAAAACATAATGATTAGACATTTACATCACTTACAAAGTGATAACCCCAACAAATCTACTACCCACTCGACACTGTACATAGTTATTAGAACATTATTGACTATATTCCCCATGCTGCACTATTCACCCCATGACTATTATTTAAAAATTATACTTGACATTCAATATTATTTTATATTAGTTTCAGATGTACAGCATAGTGATCCCCCCAAAAGTCCATCACCCATCTGACACCATACATGGTTTTTGCAAAACTTTTGACTATATTCCCCATAGTGTACTTTACATCCCAGTGACTCTCCTGTACCTATCCATAAATACTCCTTAATCCCTTCACCTTTCTCACCCAGCCCCACAAGCCCCTTCCCATCTAGTAATCATCAGTTTGTTCTCTACTTCTTTTTTTTTTTTAAGATTTTTATTGGGGAATTGGGGGGATGGGAACAGTGCTGGGGAATTGGGGGAAGGGGAACAGACAAGTTGCTGTCCTTTT